GCGCGCTGTCGTGCTCGTGTTCCTGTGGACACGTCTTCTCTTGTTTGATGGCGGGAGTTTTAAGCTTTGGCAGGCGCTGCAGGCTCGATGGGGGCGCCTCACCCAGGCTGCGTAGGGACTCGAGTAGCTGCGCCCTGGGTTCTCGGGGAGGGAACGGGTACAGGGTGGAAAGAGGAAGCAGGTCTGACTGGGGGAGGGAACGTGGCCACGTCGGGAAAGATGAGCTCACCTTTCACTCCGGCCTCCTCCCAGGCCTGGAGCGCCCCCTCCCCGGCCCGGCGGCGCTGCGTTTAAATGGCGCTGGGCCCTGTCCTTTCGGCTCACTTGCAGGCGGGCCCTCCCGAAGCCCCGGGCGGAGCAGAGTGAATCACCCTCCGTTAGACCAGGCGTCGGGGCTCTAACTCGGTGTCTCACTCTCAGCCCGAGGCCTCACCTGGCGTTTGGGAAGGAGGGGCTCCCCCCGGGCACAGCCCCTGCTCTCCCCTCCCTCCGCCGTTGAGGGCCACCCTCCTCCAAAAGGGCTGCTACAAAGGTCACCCTACACCCGTTTGTGTGCCGAGTGTCGGGTCTGCGGTTGAAATGAACAAGATGAAGGAAATGTCAGTCTGACATCTGTGTAGCCTTGTAACTCAAGGCTAGCTAGCATTGCCCTCATTATGAATCCCATTCACTGCACTCAGGCAGGGGAGGGGTGATAGGCCATTAAAACAAATGATGGTGCCCTGGCTGGTTCGCCCAGTGGATAGAGCGTCGGCCTGGGGACTGAAGGGTCTAGGGTTCCATTCCCGGTCAAGGCTCATGTCCCGGTCGCGGGTTCGATCCCCAGGAGGGGGCGTGCTGGAGGCAGTCGATCTGATTCTCTCTCGTCATCCATGTTTCCTCCCTGTCTGAAAATCAATAAAAATATACTTATTTTAAAAGAAGGATGGTACCGAAACCGGTTTGGCTCAGTGGATAGAGCGTCGGCCTGCTGACTGAAGGGTCCCAGGTTCGATTCCGGTCAAGGGCATGTACCTGGGTTGCGGGCACATCCCCAGTGGTGGATGTGCAGGAGGCAGCTGATCGATGTTTCTCTCTCATCGATGTTTCTAACTCTATTTCTCTCCCTTCCTCTCTGTAGAAAATCAATAAAATATATATATTTTAAAAAGAATGGTAAGGAACATTTTCAAAGACGCAGACTATTTTTTAAATGAATATTGTTGAAAGTATTACATATGTCCTCCTTCCCCCCATTGACCTCCTCCAGCCACCCCCCCCCACCCAGGCCTTCGCCACCCTGCTGTCTGCGTCCATGAGTTATGCAAATATGCACATAAGGTTCTAAGATGCAGGCTATTAAAAACCGATGTGCCATCCTAAGGACATCCATATTGTGTTTAAACAGCCCATGATTTTTTTTTAAAAGGGGGGGGCGCGGGGGAGTGGCGGGGAAACAACGTTAGGAGTCACAGCAGGTTAAGAGCAGAGCCTGTGACAGAGCTCCCTCCCTCCCTCCCAAATGATGCGAGGCCGCAGGTCGCAGAAGAGGTCAGGGACCCGCGTTAGGACACTGACCCCTTCATCTATTCTATGGAATTTACAAACTGCTTAGCCTGGGGCTCAAGGGGGGGGTGGCGTGAGAATGGACCTAAGCAAGGCCTAGTTATATTTAAACCTGAGTTCACCCAGTTTGTGGGGAAAATGGGGGTGAGGACACTGAGCCCGAAGCCTGGGTGAAGGACAAGAGTCATATGTCAATCCTTCGTGACGTCGCCAGGGCAAATCCAGTTGGAATAGCTCGTTTCGCTGGAAATGTCCAACTTTAATCGATCTGACTCCCTTGGGTGGGGGCGGGGTTGGCTACACCCTCGCAGATCCACGACTTGCAGAAACATTTAACTCATGGACTAACTAGGCCAGCGACGCTTCTAGGGCTCCGCGTCACTGCAAACTGCTGCTCCCCAACCAGGATTGTCTTTGCTTGATCCTTTCACAGGGTACAAGGGGCTGGCGTCCCTGCCAGAAAAAGACACCCCACGTGCCCTAGAACTTTAAATTCGTGCCCCTCCCGCTTGCGTCTTCCTACCGACCACCCCCGGAAGCCCCCAATCCCTCACAATGGGCCCAGGGCGCCGCCAACCGTGGGGCCCTGTATAGAAACCGCCGGAGGCGCCCCCATCTAGCCTGCAGCACCTGCCAAAGCTTAAAACCCCCGCAATCAAATATGAGAAA